ATTTTTACAAGGCATCGAAGCCCGTGAAGCAATAATAAAACTAAATGATCAAGAGGCATTATTTTTTTTAATGGTCTCAATAGTGATATTGGAGCTGTTATTTTGGCGTCAAGAGTCAAAACATTTACCGAAGCAGTTCAAATAGCATTAGAAGCTGAAGTTTCTCATTCATTTAATCTTCAAAACACTCAAAATGTTTATCATGTTCAAAGCAAACATTTTCTTAACAATCGCGGAAATCGAAATAATAATCGTCATAAGTAGGTTATTATAGCCGGTGCTGAGACTCCCCCCTCCACTTTCGACCTTGGGATGACATTGGGTGACCTTGGGATGACCTTGGATGACGTCATCCGTGACCTGGATGACATTGATAGAGGTCACGGTGACCTTCACNTGATCAAGAGGCATTATTTTTTTTAATGGTCTCAATAGTGATATTGGAGCTGTTATTTTGGCGTCAAGAGTCAAAACATTTACCGAAGCAGTTCAAATAGCATTAGAAGCTGAAGTTTCTCATTCATTTAATCTTCAAAACACTCAAAATGTTTATCATGTTCAAAGCAAACATTTTCTTAACAATCGCGGAAATCGAAATAATAATCGTCATAAGTAGGTTATTATAGCCGGTGCTGAGACTCCCCCCTCCACTTTCGACCTTGGGATGACATTGGGTGACCTTGGGATGACCTTGGATGACGTCATCCGTGACCTGGATGACATTGATAGAGGTCACGGTGACCTTCGTTTGACCTCTACATATTGGAGGATCCATATGACATTGAATGACTTTCAAGTGACGTCATAACAGGTGGTGACCTTCATTTGACCCCTGCAGAGTTAAAAAGTATTGACAATTATTGTATCAATCACCTTGACTGATCTCTGTACGGTAAGTACGTATGATGAGTTCGCTCCATCAAATAACGCTTTGTACCTATCCAATGATTTATACAAATTGGAAACTTAATATGGATGATCGAAAATCATATCATAATCATAACACTTATTGGTACCAACACAAGGTTGAAGTTCCGAAGAAATGTTCGAAATAATGGAATAGAGAATTCTTGCAATCCTACATTTATCACATGAATAACTATTACCTATACCCTTCTATCTACACTTGCGATTAAAATGCTACTTGATCTGTTAATTTGATGAAAATTAAAAATAAGTTGTATATGAATAAGTAACAATAAAAACATTAAAGTATTTTATCTATACCCGCTGTTAATTTATTACTTTATCTATTTCTTGAATATTAAAATGCAGTACTTGACTCGTTAATTTGAGTTGTATAATGCAAACGTTACATTACATCATTTGCTGTAGAAAAAAAGACCTTTAGGGCTGTTTGTGATTAAAATTAATTATATTTGGTCTCATAATTGTTGTATGCATTACAATAAAGTGATATAAATTTATCTGACAAATACCAATTCTGTATTAGGTACATGAAAGATATTTCAAGATTCGAACTTACACTTACACATTCATTACTTTTTTTATCATAGTTTCGTTTATTTGTGAAAGTAAACAGAACAGAGTACTCCTCATCGATCTTCGATGTATTTCTTTTATGTTCGTAACATAACCTTAATAAATCACCACAAGATATACATACATAAAAGCCATACAACAAAACAGAAAGTAGTTCAGGAATAAACTATAGATAGACCCTAAAATAGTAACAACATCAACTCCTAATTAGTTACTAGTTTCCAAATTGAAAAAAAAAGTCAAATTGGTAATACTATTTTAATTATAAATGAAAACTGTGAAACTCATATGGTAACGTCGAGGTAATTGTAACAAAAAATACTGTAAAAGTAAAGTGCTGGACCACAAATCTATACGTTTTGACGTGAACGGTGAAACCGGACCGGCAGCGGGATAGTGAAGACACTCAGGTTAAATGACAGCGTTCTCACTTGTATGGTCTCGTTCCAACTCACCTACCGAATGTTATTTAAACCTGTGTATTTTTACCGCGGGATGGTACCGGTCCGGTTTCACAGCTCCGTCAAAACGGATAGTGTGGTCTTGGCCCAACAGTAAAGCATTATAAGTGTGTAATTATAAAAAGTTGTTAGGTACTACCGCACTTTTTTTTTCAAAGTGCATGTACATTTTGTACCAAAAATGTATGTAGTAGCTAAGATATGTAAGGTAAAATTTGTTATAAAACGTTGTACTTAAGTAACTACCGCACTTTTCCCTAGAAGTGTACTTACATTTTATACTAAAAATGTATGTATGTATGTAAGTACTAAGTACATAGTTATAAACAGTACTAGTGTAAAAAGGCATTATGCGTGTAATTATCAAAAGTTGTTACTATCCGCATTTTTTTTCATAGTGTATTTACATTTTGTACCAAAAACTTATGTAGCTAAGATATGTAAAGGTACTAATTTGTTATAAAACGTTGTGTACTAACTACCGCACTTTTCCCTCGAAATGTACTTACATTTTATACTGAAAATGTATGTATGTATGTAAGTACTAAGAGTACATGGTTATAAACAGTACTAGTTACTACCACACTTTTTCTTCGAAGTGTAACCTTGTACTTACTACTTACATTTTGTACCAAAAATGTATGTACATATAAAGTACTTTTAGACACAACACACTTTTTCCAAAATGCAACGAAATCTGATACAATTGTGCCATTGTGCCACCTTCGAGTGTACTGTAGAGAGAAGGGTCGCTCATGAATAGAACGACTCGCATTAAACGAGCTCTACTAGCAGTACTAGCACTGCACTTCACTGCACTGTACTGGTGCAAGGGAGCCTCACCCGTCGCCCTGGACGAGGCACCTTGTCAATCACACTCGGTAGCCCCCCATGGTAGGTAGAAGCCCGCCGGCTGGGGCTACACTCCCAAGCTGCATCTGGGGAGTTCATCATATCTGCGGTCGAGATTCCAGTAGTAACACGTAAGTGGCTCCATCTTCACGGAACCATTCAAATTACTCGAAATTCATATACGTTTAAACGGACTATATAAATAAACATTTGAAAATATCGAAAACAAATCTACATAGGATAATTGGACCGAACATGATCTATTAGGTCAACTGTTTAGATGTACTATGGTAGTTAACTAATGAATAATCTGTGATAATTTAATATTCAGATGATTTTTGTAAATTATATTCTGATAAATTAATTTTTTGTATTTTCCATTAATTAGATATTGATAGACGCATAGGATATACCAGAAGAGTGAGTATTGGAATGTATACGACTGAATAAAAACTGCTATTACATTTAATAAATGTATCGAAGTTAAAAAAAATGCGAAACTTGTTTCAAATCGCTAATATCTCTTTAGTTTACATAAGTGTATTTTTTTAAACTTTCTCTCTCTACCGTGACTGCGGCTATAGTACTTTAAACAATAAATTAAGGCAATTTCCCCTTCGTAATATAACTTGTACGATATTTACGATCGATTTCAAATAACATTAAGACTGTCGTTCTATAGACAAGAAATCGCACTTTTAGTAAGACAATGATAGAACAAGTAGATCCATCCAGGAAGTGACAAAGCGTTATGCTAAAAAAACAAAGCAACCTCGATTAATTTTTCGCATTGAGACATCACAGAGAACATATAAATATCAAAAAATGTACCTTTCCTGTTATATCCAACAAATTTGTAGAGATAGGTAGTCAATAATTCTTACAATTAGTAATGTATGTGTTAATAGTTTGTTAAAAGCATTCTGCGGGGTGTTTATTTATGGTTTACGGCTGGTATATAGTATCGTACGCGATTTACTGTATGTATGTATGTTTAACATCCGTGCAAAATTCAGGATACGTAAGATACAAGGTAAAAATATGCTTTTTTCCTTACTTGTATTGTCAGTTGTCTTATACCCTAAAGAAAACGTATACAGAGTGTTTCGAGTGGTTTTTATGAACCAATACAGAGCAGGGGCATGTAGGGGAACCCAACTTACCTTTATGTATACTAAGTTGCACCCCCGAGAAGTTATACGTCTTGAAAGTGACGTTTCAAATTTCGAAAAAAATCATCTCAGTTATACTTGAACTTAGAAAGACCAAATCTGGTACACGGTGTAAGTGTACCAAGAACATTAATCAACAGTAAGTAGAGTTCAATTGAAGTATTTTAAAGGGTTCATAAGGGACGCTACACCATCAAAATATGACAGAATTTTTAATCCGTTGGCGGACTTAAAAAATTATTACTTTATTTTTTGGTGTATTTAATTCTAAAACTGTTCTTACTCTTGCTAGTTTTCAAGAAGCTTTGTCGTTCTGAGTAAAAACACGAATAACTAATAATACCTATTATAGCTGTGTGGCTATGAATTAAACGTCAATCTTGACGATTAGGAACAAAGTTGGAATAAGAATAATTTAACAGAAAAATAAACGACTTAAATCAAATACTTATAGCATGTCAATTTGTTCGCTAAATGACAACTTCCCGACCATTTTCAAAACACTCAGCAAACAATTACTAAAATTGAATGACTTTTTTGCACATATGTACATACCTATATGAAAATGACCCCCTTAACAAATTTCTCAAATAAGAGAGATTGTTCTACACATCTAGATTATGTTATCTCATCCAATACTTATTTGTTTTGTTCGTATCCAGGATTCCATTAATTTTACTATACTTTTGCGCATGATAAAAGTTGTTTTCGATGTCCAAAGTTCCGCTGTTCCCTAAGATTATCTATTATATGTAAGTAAAAGCGTGTACATAAAACATACCTACACATTACCTATATTTTTCAAGTTAGTGAGTTTTCATCAATCGCCGTCATGACTGCACGATGTGTCACATTGCTTAGTTACACAATTAGTCACTGGTCAGGTCTGGTTTTTACTCCTATATTCTTAGAAGTAATAAATAAATACTAAAAATAAAAACTTCACTTCAATAAGAGTTTAGATATAGGAGAGGATTACTAAAACCAGAAATGTGTTTTCTTGCTTGAAGCAACCACCCGGATTGTTTGGTATCCGTGGCCTCCCAAACCCACAAAATAATAATTGTGGGTGAACACGATGATCATCAACGACTTCTGTGGTAATATACAGTTACCACAAGAAATATCTGCCTCGCGTTCAGGACCACAAGACTATGTCTCTTTATCATGGTGGTAAACATCTCTATGTTTGAGAGAATACAGGAAGACGCATGATAATGATACTTTAGTTTTAGTATCATGAGAAAAGACCTACAACGGAAATAATTACGTAGCCTTATACCAAGAAGTTCTTACGCTAAATTCTAGTCATATCCTGTCGGCGATTTACTACAACTAATCCTCGTGTTAAAATGAGATGAAGTATTATTTGGTGGTACTGACATCTAGCGAGTCTACCCTAAACTGCAAGAGAAATGCCGCTACCTACTCTTGTCTGAAAACTTTACAAAATTTAGCAGCACATAATAGCCGGTATACAGAATCAAAGAAATTCATGAAGATAATCACTAATTTATGGATAATTTAGGGACTTTTGCCACCACGGAAGGGGATGGTAACACCAATATTTTTTTAAAAGATATTTTTAACAAATAACTATTATAAAATTTAATGAAACGTATTTTAGATGTTGCAAGTTTTACTAGTTTAGTAGCAACATAAACGCATTTTTAATTTGAAAATCGAAGTCAAATAAAGTATCAAATCTTATCCGTTCCCTAGTTAATTAAGTAAATCTCACCTATTCTTTGCATAATCGAAGGTTAGTCGAGACGGTCATTAGTCAACTGGAACAATTTTATCAAATTTTTACTTCATTATGCAGCTGTGACAGTTTTTATTCAGTCGTAGCCATTACAATACTCACTGTTCTAGTGTATCATATGCCTCTATTATTATTATTATCTAATCAATGGAAAATATAAAATATTAATTTATACATATACATACATTAGTTACCAACATAGTACGCCTACAAGTCAAGAGTTACTTTTTCTATGCAAAATTGAGATAGTAGTAAGATTTTTTCAGGTGGGATGACTACCACATAAATAAAACGTACTGGAATTTTAGTAGGTATTTTTCATAAAAAATTAATAACTGCTAATTATTGTCCTATATAGATCTATTTTCGATATTTTCAAATTTTATTGATATAGTATATTAAGTATATAATACTATTAAGTATATTATAGTGTAACCTAAGTATACGTTAAAATATTTAAGTGGGGTATTTCTGTGTTAATTGTAAGAAAAAAAGTTTATATAAACCTGTGTTCGGAATTGCTTCGTTTCTGAAATACAGGGTGTGGAAATTAAACAAAATCATCATTACAACAGCTGCTGAAAGTGGCTACCTCCGACATTAATACAAGCTTCTGCCCTGCACACCAAAGAATCCCGTACCCGTTGGAAAATACCAGAAAAATAAAATAAATTAATAATAAATATATTTCTCAACTACTTCATTTAACGCCTAAGGGACTCAGCAAATTGCATCTTTGCAGAAATTTGCAAATTTCTCGAATACTGTGGCTTCTAGCGTTGTTAAGGAAGTGTGCATTTTTGCTTAAAAAGGTGTAGAGATATGGTTTATTCACAAAAAATTGCAGAAGTCTTCTGTCAAAAAACTTATGGCAAATTAACAATGCTCTAAGTACTGCACGAAAATTAATAATACCAAATTATGATTTCTCTCCTCAAAAAACCTCCGGTTGCCAAATTTTATGCGAAAAATAAAATTTTAATTTCAACACCGTGTATCTCAGAAACGAAGCATTTCCGGACACAAAGGTTTATATACACTTTTTTCTTAGCGTTAACTCAGGAAATATTACTATTATTACTTAAATATTTTAACGTACTTAGGTTACACCCTATATAGTATATTAATCTCCAGTAATTTGAATGAGCCCTGAAGGTGGCGCCACTTACGTGTTACTTGTGTAATCTCGACAGCGAAAGGTTAGGGACCCTCTAGATGCTACAGAAGGGCGTCCTCTGAAAAAAGGGCCCCAGCCGGCGTGACCTATCCAAAACAGGAAGGGTCCCGCAAACTGATCGGACTTCGTCCGCTTCAGCGTACCCGGTCCGGGAAGACGGGGAAAGAGCCTGTATCATGAAGACATGAATCAGGTGAAGAGCGTTAATTTCGCTCGACCCCGCTACGTCGAGGTCATAAATCATACCAATGATTATTGGCACGCAGAAGACCGTGCTTGCGTGGGGTATAGGAGTTACCGTGATCACTGATCAACAAAGCGGTAGGTCGGGATGTGATGACATGTGACTCCTGCAATTATTTTTAATGCGGATAAACTCGGGCGCATATTTTTGGTAATCGATATTCTGTGTACGTGCTATTCCCGGTGCACTGTAATTGAAACAATTTTACAAAGTACTCGTTACCCATTCATTGTACATATCGTTACCTAGTTGCCATGTACATGCATATCTATCTACACTAGTCGGTGGCTGGCGTTCGGTTACTCTCTTGGCGAAGAACAATAATAACCATACGAGGTTATAGTTCTTCCGATATGAATTGAAACTGACCAGTTGCGAGACCAGCTATTTTCCCAATAAAGTATCTTGAAGTAGTGTGAGACACGACGTCGACCGCCGACACCTGCGTTGGATATTTGTGTCCTACTTCTTTTTTGTTTTTACATGTGCCCAGTGATGCCAGGTCTCATGCTTTTGCATGAGATGATCTCATGTTTTGCGAATCAATCTCATGTTATCATGTTTTATTTGCAAANTCCAGTAATTTGAATGAGCCCTGAAGGTGGCGCCACTTACGTGTTACTTGTGTAATCTCGACAGCGAAAGGTTAGGGACCCTCTAGATGCTACAGAAGGGCGTCCTCTGAAAAAAGGGCCCTAGCCGGCGTGACCTATCCAAAACAGGAAGAGTCCCGCGAACTGATCGGACTTCGTCCGCTTCAGCGGACCCGGTCCGGGAAGACGGGGAAAGGGCCTGTATCATGAAGACATGAAGCAGGTGAAGAGCGTTAATTTCGCTAGACCCCGCTACGTCGAGGTCATAAATCATACCAAGGATTATTGGCACGCAGAAGACCGTGCTTGCGTGGGGTATAGGAGTTACCGTGATCACTGATCAACAAAGCGGTAGGTCGGGATGTGATGACATGTGACTCCTGCAATTATTTTTAATGCGGATAAACTCGGGCGCATATTTTTGGTAATCGATATTCTGTGTACGTGCTATTCCCGGTGCACTGTAATTGAAACAATTTTACAAAGTACTCGTTACCCATTCATTGTACATATCGTTACCTAGTTGCCATGTACATGCATATCTATCTACACTAGTCGGTGGCTGGCGTTCGGTTACTCTCTTGGCGAAGAATAATAATAACCATACTAGGTTATAGTTCTTCCGATATGAATTGAAACTGACCAGTTGCGAGACCAGCTATTTTCCCAATAAAGTATCTTGAAGTAGTGTGAGACACGACGCCGACCGCCGACACCTGCGTTGGATATTTGTGTCCTACTTCTTTTTTGTTTTTACATGTGCCCAGTGATGCCAGGTCTCATGCTTTTGCATGAGATGATCTCATGTTTTGCGAATCAATCTCATGTTATCATGTTTTATTTGCAAAATCTCATGCTTTTTAGACTCCAATAAGGTAATACTTGAAAATTTATAACATATACGGGTAACTGTAAACATAGTAAAACAAAATGGGTATCTATACATACAGTTACCATATAATTCTCGAGTTTAGTAGTGCTGCTTTCTAGTAAGAGATGAACAAAATGGTATAGTGCAATAATATGCGATTCCCCCTGTGATCCGAGTATGCGAATAAGTAAAGTTAAGTTTGTTATTTTATTAAACTTGCATTTAAAATACTATTGTTATTTTTGTACAACTCATATTATAAAATGTAATGCAGCCCCTCTATAATGAATTTAAGAAAACTTTATATATTTTGAAAAAAAATATATTACATATTTAGATTTTTTGTTATGCAACCAAATATACACTTTGCGAGGTATTTGCGCGGCATAATGCTTTTTTTTTAATCTCATGTTTTTTGTAGGATTTTCTCATGCTTTGCTATTTTAAGACCTGGCAACACTACATGTGCCGTCGTTTTTGGCGAGATTCGACTGACGTCGCAAGAACTATACTTGCGCTGCGTTTCTAGGGAGGGGTAGAGCGAACCGCGCATCTGTTGAACATAGTTTGGTGCACATAGTTCAAAATCGGGGTAGGTGCACCTGAACCACAAAAAAAGTAGGTGCATCCGTCCCTTGTCTGCACACGACCACGATCAAGGTTGTACCATTGTCGGAACAAATAAGTAATATTATATCAAATAACAAATTAAAATCATAACAACCAAACTCAAACAGTACTGCTAGGAATAGGAAAAGCTTAATTAAGCTAAGAAATGCACGTCTCGCATTAGTTAAACAGTCACACCCCCAGTTATAGTAATTATCATTGGGGGAGAAAACAGCTAACCATTGCTGGGCAAGTGCCATCTCGAGTAAATTTACTACTTCAGAATAAGAAAGTAAATCCATTGTACCGTTTGCAATACAACTGAAGCAATACCACACACACCCGTAGAAAAGTAGACATGACTGTGCCACTACTGCCACTGCGACTGCTGTCGTGGATAGTGAAATAATAATGAATGAACATCCGAGGTTATAAATCCTGCCAAGGATATTGGCACGCGGATACATATTAGCCTTTACATAACTTTGCGCAATCATTTTTCAGAAACAGTATCACCATTACAGTAGGGTGCTTCATTCGGATGTTCTCTTAAATTTCCCATTCTACTTTTAATGAATATATGATGTTGGTATATCTACAGCTTTTCTTTATTTACAGCTACATGGAAGTGCAGTTATGTGCAAATTAGAAATTTTTTTCAATGGTCCTACTATTCAGATACAATCTGCTATATTGTGAAGTTTGTCGCTATACGTATATGAACACTCAATCCACATTAACTTGGAATTAATTGTTTACACATTTACACTTATTAATTTACTTGTGGGTAGAATACACTGTATACTGCGAGTGCACAAATAATCTCCAGCACCGTCGTCGGCTCCTAGGTTTTAATTTTTATAAAGAACTTAAAAAGGAATATCAATCGGTGGCCCCGTATCGCAAAGAAAAAACCACCTGTCCTGGTATATTGGGATTTCGCTGCATATAAGATATAATATACCTAATTAAGC